TTGCCTTTTCATCGCTGGTTCCTTCTCAACATCTATCCTATCCTTTAATAATTCAACAATAACGTCCATTACCCGCTTCACGTTTTTACGCAACTCCTTTTCTTCCTCTTATTCGCAAATAGAGATTGAAATCGGGATATATCACACAAGTAAAATTTAACTAATTCGGTATGAAAAGTAAGGGGAAAAGAAATAAAAAAGGATAAGAGTTGGTTGCGAAAAGAAAAGCGGATCACCACTATACTATAGATTGATAAATGTCCGATCATAATAATAATTTCGGGAAAATCCAAGTTGGGTAAAATCAGTGGATAGCGATACCTAATTTGGCTTGGGAAAAATCTGCGTAAACTTTATAAATTCACAAAATTATTCTAAATTATAGTTTCTTTTTACCGCAAATTTTTGTTCAAAATGACTGTTATTATTAAAGAAACTTATAATGTCAGGCCAACTCAACCAACACAACATTCACCAATAATTCTATCTAATCATGATTTAGTACTTCCAATGGTTTACATGTTTGCTCATCATTTTTACAAGAATGTTGATAACAAAAATGATTTTATGGATCCTAGTAAACTACGTGATTCATTGGGAGATATTTTATCTGATTATTATCCATTGGCTGGTCGTTTAAAAAAAGAAATTGATGGTAAATTAAGCATTGCATGTTGTGATCAAGGTATTCCATTTATCATAGCCTAAAGCCCAGATATTACAATTCAACAACTTGAAGAAAAAAATTGGCAGCCTTCTTCAATTCCAGATCATCTTGTACCTGATTTACCTGTAACTCATGGATTAATATCACTTCCTTTGGATGTGCCATTACTTATGGTACAACATACCACATTAGCTGATGGATCTGTTGTTTTAGGAACGGTCATGCATCATACAATTGCAGATGGTATCTCATTATTTTGTTTTTTAGATAATTGGGGACGTAAGGCTCGTCAAGAACCAATCATTCCTCCTGTACATGACCGTTCTTTACTAAAGGCTAGTGGTAACCCACCAACTCATGAGCATCCTGAATTCAAGCTGTTTAAACTTCCGACTGAGGCTTCTCAAGCGATGCCACCGATGCCACCGATGATAACAAAATTATTTCATATTAATAGAGATAATTTAAAAAAATTATGCAATGTTTATTCTGGTGAACATAATTTGGTTTCAGCTAATGATGCACTTGTAGCTCACCTTTGGAGATTGGTAACTAGAGCACGTGGAATTCCTTTAGATGCAGAAGTTATTTGTGCATTTCCTTGTGATGGAAGAAAAAGACTCAAACCATTCTTTCCACCAAATTATTTTGGTAATTGTATCTTGTAAGTTAACTGATATGTCTTATCTTAAATCGCTGATAAATTTTGATATTTATATTCCTGATATTTCCTAGAAATACGGTTCCAAAAATGCTTGTTTCTGAGTTGATAAATGGATCTCAACCAAATCTTGCACTTCAAATACGAAAAGCAATTGATAAAGTAAATGACTCAAAAATAAGATCCTCAATTGATTGGATTGAGCAACAACCAAATAAAAGTGAAATTAAATTAAATTGTAATTACTATTGTGGTAAAGATCTTGTCTTGACCAATTGGTCTAAATTTTCATTATATGATTTAGATTTTGGTTATGGAACTCCATTAAGATTTAGCTTGAGAAGAGGAAGAAATTTGGATGGAATAGTTTTCCTACTTGGAACTAAATATGATGATGGAATACAAGCTTTTACAAGCTTAATTATTGAACACATGCAAAAATTAGAGCAAGATCCTGAATTTAAAGAGTTTTTTCAAATTTCTTAAGTAGATTTTGTAGGTTTTCTTAAACAATACATGTGTCATGTAATTCTTAAATTTGTAAAAATTAAAGAGATTAAATTATTAAAAAATTATTGCTTTTGTGTTTTTTTACCAGTGAGACAAATAATTCCACTATGAGTTAATATTATGAACATTACAGTATTAGTTTTTGCTCTAGTAAATAACATTGAGAGAGCACCCTTTAACTAATCATACTCATTTTTTGAAATTGCTGACTCTGAAGAACTTTTCCACGTATCTTAAATCATACTTAAGAATTTATTCCTGTAAATATTATAATATTAATAATCAAAAATTTTTTATATTTTATTAAAATGCTCTCATAATCTTTTATTTCCTCTAAATTAACCACTCCAATTGTTCAATCTTTAATTACAACTGCTCTATAAATTGTACATAATGGTATTTTACTAATCTTTTTACATTGGTATGAACTTTATTCCAATCTAAATTATGAATTTTTTGAAAATAAACACCCCTATAAAAAAGAATTGTCCAGAAAATATCTACAAAATGTCCGGAAAATGTCCTGGTATATTTGAGCGTGTCCAGGAAATAACCATTTTTCGTCCTAAAAAATAATCACATCATCTGTTCATAATTTTTTAAATGTCCAGAATATGTACAGAAAATTACTAATTGTCCGGAATATGTATAGAATTTTTTTTTAAAAAAAAATTAATAATTTTCTAATGCAGAAAATGTCTGAAATATGTATGGAATTTTTTTTAAAAAAAAATTAATAATTTTCTAATGCGGAAAATGTTTGGAATATATATATAATTTTTTTTAAAAAAAATTAATAATTTTCTAATGTGGAAAATGTCCGGAATATGTATGGAATTTTTTTTTAAAAAAAATTAATAATTTTCTTCTAATACGGAAAATGTCCGGAATATGTATAGAATATTTTTTAAAAAAATTGATTCGCTATGGATTGCATTCAAATATAAATCACATACAATAGCCAAAATGTATTTAAATACCTTACACAAGTAATTATACAATTGATAAATTAAATTAATTAAATTTGTACCAAAAGTCTGTAATCCCAATAAGCAAAATTGATTCCTTGCAGGTGAACAAGAATTATAAACCCATGTAATTCCATCATTGCACTGACGCCAAAGTTTCACGTAATCATCTTTCTTTTTTTTGTGATGCACAACAAATACGAGTAGTTTCTAAGTACATAAGTTTCTATTAATACAATTAAAAAAATGGTTATAATTGCCAATAAATGTTAATTGTTAATAAATACTTACACGGTAAATATGTGTTGTCATGATCAATTCCACTTAAAAAAGCACGAAGCAAGGGATTTATTACATCTGAGAAATATGAACCTTCGTTCAATTTTTTGGTAAATTTATGATTTGAATAAGTACGGTTGTTCCATACTTCTTTACTAAAAATAATTAGCGCTAAATTAAATTAATCAAATTATAGTAAATTAATAAAAAAATTCACTTACAGCACTAGCAAAATATTATCAACGACTTGTTTCTGTTTAGAAGGAACCTCCTTCCATTTTGAATCATGCAAAAATTTCACAGGAACTGGTGAAAAATTAATACTATGAAAGAACTCATTTGAAGCATAATACATTTTGTATTTATTTCATCTCTAATTTCGGGAAGATAAAGCCTTTTGGCTCCTAATTGTAGTGCAATAATAAAATTAATTCATTCATTATGTACAGTGAAAGATCGCAAATGATAAGACAATACTAAAAAAATATACAGATAATTGCTGCAGTGATATCTCGTCTAAGGGTTTTATTAGATTCGAATTCTCATCAAGCACAAGGCTGGCTACAGGGTCCTTCCAACTAGGGATTGGAATCGATTCCCATTATTAGAATCGATTCTAAAATCGATTAATCATGATTAATCGTTTCGCAAATACCGATTTTTTTTTATACTATTTATAATAGGTATGTTTAAACACATATCACGTGATTACAAAAAATTACAGTGATTGACGAACAAATTTCCTTTTTCGGAAATTTGTACAACCTTGTGCGATAGCAACTTGAATTTTATTGGGAGATAAAATTTCCTTTTTAGGAAGTTTGTGTTCTGTCACGTGATTCGCGGGCGGAATTATGAATTTGGCCAAAATTAACTATTATGAACAAATAATAATTTACGGTCAAATTAATGAAACTGCGCCACAATAAGTAGATTCGATTTTTATTCGAGATTCGATTTAAAATCGATTCTTATCGATTTTCGATAGTTTCGATTTTAATCGAATCTTTTCCAATCTCTACTTCCAACTAAGTTCCTCAATATTAATAAGAGATAATTTATCTAAAATAGCGTCGCATAATTCTACATCTTCGTCTGATTCAGGTGACTTCAATCAACAATCAATTACTTACGTTAAATTAAATAAATTAACAATGTTTTTATAGATAGCAATTGGACTTTCGTCATCACTACTGGAACTCTAAAAACTTTTGAAATCTCATTATTATATAAATTTACAAAGTTAAACAACTGCAATAAATAGATAAATACCTTATAATGTTCAAAAGCACTGATTTCATTTAAGCTTTGTACAGAATCATATACTTGTTTTAACTTAAAATAACAATACTTTTAATTTCTTTAAAATTTTATGAAATTTAATTTAAAGATCTATATCAACTAATTAATTATTCTCAATTGTAAATATTTATAACATTCTTTTAATAATTATTAAAATTCAAAATAAACTTTTTCAATTAAACTCTATTCAGACCTCAAATACACAAAAAATATTCAATGCTCGTCAAATCTATCATCAAAATATCAATTATCAAGTTTTATTCAAAATACATTTTATCAATGATACTCTATTCAGACCTCAAATACAAAATTAATATACTATTTGGTCGTCAAAAGCCATCATTCAAATCATCATCGAATACAAACTAATCATGGTTACAATATATTTTCATGAAGTATAAACGCTTTATACACTTTACACTCTTGTTCATGGTCTTTTATCTTTAATAAGGCCAGTCTACTGCTTTCTTTGCTTCATAAATTATAAAATCAAAACTTGGAAATTCTCCTTGAAGGGACTGAATGATGCGGAAAACAATTGTTGAAGGTGTAATTATATAAGTATTCGCAGAAATTCAATTACTTTCATAATATTAAAAAAACGTTTTTTATAAATTATAAAGTTACACAATCCTAAGTCATTTGGTATAATTTTCACATCACACGTCTAATCGTTTAATTTTAAACGTGAAAATTAAAATTTGTTGTAAGAAATCAAAATTTGGTTGAAGAAATGACTAAAGCATTTGAAAATCTATCATTATATGGTGGCTATCATCTATAAACGACAAAAATATGGTGTCTTCAAACTTTTATAAATCATAAATTAGAGTGACATTTGATAAATGTGCTAGAAATAACAAAAATTAAATTTCAAAAAAATCGTACATAATAAATATTACTTTTTAATTTATCAAACTGTAAATTTTTAACCTATTTATAATATAATATAGCTGGATTTTAGCCATGAACATTTGCCTCACTACTTCTGCTATGACTGAAGTTTGAAATGAATAAGACAAACCCTGCACGAAGTACTAGCCAATTGGTTAATTATTAGTCGATCATAGACTTATTTAGTAATTGTATGACGTGATGGAAAGTATGAGTCACATGATACAGATTAAAGTTTAGTCTACAAACCTTTTTAACTGTTTGTTTCTTTTTTATTTAAATAATAAATCAATGAAGATTTATATAACATTTAGATTCCATTTATCTTACGAAGCGTAAACTTTATTAACGTGTACATTCATCTGCGTTTGGCAATACGACATATCAATAAATGGACCTAAATGTTCAATAAATACTAAAATCATTGCGAAAAGAGAAATATTTTTAATGTTTGTTATTAAATCATTAAAAATTTTTAATTGTGGAAAACTCTTTAAAAGCTACTTTAATAGAATCTTGTTTCATATCCATGATTTAAATTATCCTCCGATTTTTTCTTTCTACATAATGCAACAAACCTTTCCCCTTAATACACACCATACACATGGTTTATTGTTCTTATTGTTCTCCGATTCTTTTCCGTTTCTTTATTTTCTTCATTAATTTCTAAAAAAAATTTCAATATCATTTTCTTTCATTATAAATAAACCAAAAATATTTACTTTCATATTTATTATACCATTCCCCTTATCTATCCCTCGTTCTTTGTCCCCAATACATAAAATTAAAGAAAAATAAATATATCCTCTTAATGCGTATTCGTAAAAGGATTTTCAATCTATGTAAATTGAAAAATTTCAACTAAATAAACATAAATTATATATATACCAGCATTTCAGAAGATTAGGCTCTACCTAAGTAAAACTTTTTAAATCAGTATTTATATTTTTTTAGTATTGATAAATTGTCACAAGTACTAGTGTCCAAATGGTCGTGAACAAAATAATCATGTTTATAAAAAAGTAAATCTAATGTTTCCATAAAATGTTAGCTTTTAAAAGATGATGATTTCTACCAAATTTGTAGATTTATACGTCTAATAAAATAAAAAACTATCGTGAATTTTTACAAGCATCTGAAAAGATATGTTTAAAATTATCATCTATATTTCAATGTCTTATTGAATTGTCTGGTTTCTATATTTGTAAAATGTTTAATTTAGTTAATTAGTTTATTTAATTGATTCGTTTAATTCAACACCCTAATCCTCATTCTGATACTTATTATTTATATTTTAATTAACGCTAATTATTGAGCGATTATTTGCATAATTCATTCAAGATTCAGGTGGTTTATATTTATTCACTGAATAACTTCTGATTAAATTTTTTTGAATTCTGTAAAGTTCATTATAACTGTTTCAAATTATCAAAGCTATTAATCAAATTGCAGTTTTATGAAAGGGATTTATTTATTTTTGATGCAGTTAGTCAGATTATTAATGAATGACAATTCAATTGACATTTTCTGACTCGAATTAAATTTTTGTCTTGTCATTTAATTGAGTATCTAATTACATTTAAAGCTCAAAATTTAGTTGTCACAGAATTGCCTTAATTTATAAGTTACTTAAAATACACAATACTTATTATAGTTTACTCAAAATCTCAAATCAATTCAACCTAAAATGTATTATTTTAACTTAGAATATTTATTGTTTAATACGTCGTTGAATTACATTGTCGAAGTAAATGATTGTATACAAACTAGATATATTAATTCCGGTATGTAGAATTAGCAAACAATTTAATTCACCGTGATAATGGCAAAGAAACTCTACGACCAAAAACTAATTTAATTCCTGTAGTAATAAACTTACATTCTATTGATACACAGATTTTTGCTGAAACTTTCAAATCTGGCACAATGTTTTAACAATATCTTTTTAACATCTTTGCGGTAATGTTACAATTTTTTAAATGGTATCGTAATAATATAGTTATGATAATCTTAACGATAATTTTTCAACATCTCCGTGGCATTAGGTTTGATATCGTTCTGATATCATTCCGATTTTGTAGTCCCGATATCGTGAGTATGCTATAAAAATATCGTTAAGATTATCATAACTATATTATCATGATACCATTTAAAAAATCGTGACGTTGCTGCAAAGATGTTAAAAAGATATCGTTAAGATTATTATAATTATCATAGTTATATCGCCATGATATCATTCATTAAAAATTGTAACATTATTGATAAGATATCGAAACTGTTATTATTATTATAACTATATTGTCACGATATCAATTAAAAAATCGTAATGTTATTACAAAAATGTTAAAACAATTTTATTTATTAATAAAATACATCATATTAATATGTAATTATAATAGTCAACATAAAACAACAAAAGCAACGTAATAATCACGCCTAGTAATATTAACATTATTACACCGATTAGTCTCGCCTAATATGATATGAAATCAAAGATGTAATGTACTGTGAGCATCATGATCAAGATAAAAACAACATTAAATAATTTTTAAATTATTGTACCTGATACTAAATTACTTAGGCGCATCACCATGGTACTAAATTACTTAGGAGCATCACAACATGGTGATATCGTTACTACACTGATTAGTTTCGCCTGAACTTCGTTTCGAAATTACAACGCAAATTTCTGTGAAATTAAGGATACAAAACGCATTATGGTTAAGATAAAATTAAAGATGCAAACATTGTACCTGGTAAATTAGTTGGACAACGCAAATTTCTGTAAAATTATTAAAATTATGTACCTGGTAAATTAGTTGGACAACGCAAATTTCTGTAAAATTAAAGATATAATTGTGTATTTGTAAATATAAAACAACGTTATAAAATTAAACATATTAAAATCGTCGTACTCGAGGTAAATACTGTTAAATTACTTAGGCGCATCACAATGCGGCGATATCACTGCAATATTGTTACTACCTACACTGATTAGTTTTGTCTTACGTTATACTGAACTTCGTTTTGGAATTACAACGCAAATTTCTGTGAAATTAAGGATACAATATGTACCTTGTAAATTACTTAATTGCTAATTCGGTTAAGATCGGCAGTGTCTTACTATGTAAAATCGGGGCAAAAAAAGAAAATAATTATCTCTTGATCCAATGATCCAATTTCAATGAACTTTTTTTTGTTTTATAGATCT